CTTTGGCGGGGGGCAGAGGAGAATGGGGAAGCAAAACTGCAGGAGATCTTCCCCTTCTAAAAACTGCGCTACAAGGTACAAAAGGGTTCGTGATGAGGCCAGAATAGTGCACCTACCTTAATATTTAATTTTATTTTTCCTACAAGTGGTGGTGTAACATCTGTCGATGATTTTCACAGAAGTCTGAGATCTATATAACAAACTACCTGTGGCTCCAAATTAAATCCTGGACCCACTTTTTTTGTCTGTCTCAAAACCTCCTGGCTATATTCAACCTCTGCAACAGGTGACCAAAATCTTCACACCTTTTCTTAGGGCAAATGTGCTTAGAGCAGATTTGATTTGGAATCCAAGCTTCAAAATTAGCCTCATTCTTGTAAAGCACTTTGCAAGGCGCTGCTGGCTGGCTGCTGAGCTAAGCTTGGTCATCGCTCTTGGTACAAGAGGGGCCGTGTTCATTCGAGATCCAGAAGCCTCGGGAAGTCTAAATAACATGGGACTGGCTCTTCCTTAGGAAGACACTAGTGTGTCAGCTAGGCCGAATGGAGGAGAGGAATCCTCGCGTGCTGCTCCTGCCTTGGTCTTCTAGTTCTGTCCCGGCCTGAACGTGCAAGCCCTTTCCAGTCAGGCGGCTGGCTCTGCTCGCGGTACAGGCCCCCCGCGTAAGGCACTGCTGTGCTTCCTCCTCCCGGCTTGCGTCAGGCGCCGTCTGCGGAACGAGACTCTCCACCGGCATAGACCCCAAACGCACTCCCAAACCCGGGTCTTGCAAACAACAGCTCCGCCCTTCGCAGTTGTGGGGAAAGGCTGACTGCTGCAGTCAAAGCTGCAGAGTTTCCATTCCCCATCTTGCAAGAGAAATTTCACACTACAAAATACAAAACAAGTGAATATTTTTTTCTGACAATATTTATTTGAATGCAAGAGTGAATTTTCATGTAACTCTGATCTGACGACTTCGGTGTTCACTCTGCATGAATACTTGAGTACTTGAATTTCACAAGCTTTTTAATATTTACAGAGAGTGACTTTGGAGCTTGACCAATATTCACTGAAAGCATCTGGGTATCGAACTCCCATTATTAGTTACGTCCAATATTAGCTACGTCCATTATTAGTTACGTCCATTATTAGTTACAGATGCCACCTAAGTAGAGAGCAACATCAGCTACAACGGGATTTAGTTTTCATGGGTATTCACAGCATAACCTTGCCAATCAATTTGAAGACCATAGTTCATCACAATTAAAAACCTTCCCGTCATCTTTAGTCCTTAGAACATTTGCGTGTTTTCCAGCCTGCTCCCAGATGCATTGCTGACAGAATCAAGCAGGTGAAATGCAGTGGACGCACAATCCCTTGCACATTGCTGACTTGTACCACGTGGATGTAAACTCTTGCAGAGTCACTGTGCAAGTTTCCACCCTCACCAAAGCAAGAGCAAACCGTATGCTCACTGCTGATACCAGTTCATGGAGGCTCCTGTTTACGGTTGGATGTGGCTTCTCTCTTTTGTAAAAGGAATTTCATATGCTGAGACTCTTTGTACATATTTATAATGACTTTATTAAAAAAAAGAAAAACAACTGTTCAATGGCAAAAAAAGGCTCCAGTTTTTATTTCCTCTCTGAAATTTGAGAACAATTTCTTTCCACAACCCTAACTTTTCCAGGGAAATCAACAGAAGTTCCTCATCAGTCGTCATTAGAGCAGATGTTTTCCCCTCTATGTTTTCTGGTCCAAATGTCACATTCTAGGAGAGGGTAGAATCGCAAAACCATCACCGTAACTCACCCGAGGAGGGAGGCTTTGACCAACTGCTGACAGCACCGGGCTGTTTCTTCCACAGCGGCCAGGCCAGAAGAATAGGGACTGAAGGATGTTGGTTTAAGTTAACAGCTCTAGAACAGTGGCCTGGAGTAAATTCTTTATCTTGCAGGAAATGAGGTGATCTTTGTTATGCTTCCAGTAGAATAAATATGCACAGCATAAAATTTCACCTTCTAGTTAGCACTAATTAATTTTAACAGCGAAGTGGAGCACTGGATGCCCCCCCCGAGTCTCAGGCACCCGTGTCCTCTCCGATACAGGCTCTGCCCATAACGAAGGCCTGCCACAGATCGCAGCGCTGCCTTTTGTCACTGAGGCAGCTGCTTGAAGAGCCACGGAAGCCTTTGTCTCGCAGGTGTCCCAAACAACTGCCCTGCATTTCTGTCGAGACAAAGGAGAACGGCGCTGGGTTACCTGCGCACCGGTGTCGGGTACCGCTGCAGCACAGCACCGGGGGAGCCAGGCTTCGGTACAGGGACCAGAACGCTGCCTTGTAAGACTGAGGGAAAGCAAAAATCAAGAAGGGACCACTGAGATGAAACAAAAGAAAAATTAATCATTAGAATTTCGTTAGAAAATTATGGTGCTGGTGCGGGGGTCCTTAGATGGGTACCAAACCCTCCCGAGGTACGTGGCAGTTCTTCCACCGTGTGCTGGTGTGAAGTCTTACCGTGTGATCGTTCTGAGTCCTTGGGCTGCAGCAGTGTTTCAAGTATATGGTGGTGATAGCCCCCTCCTTCCTACACTGACAACTGGGAAAGATCATTCAATAAAGAAAAAAAGTAAAGACAAAGGAAGACCGTAAGAATGGCAAAAAATATTCCCCGTACTTTCCCTTTGATTGCCTCCTTTCCTTATCACCAAATAAAAAACAGTAACTGTGAAACAGCATACCTAATGCTATCTGTAGTGTTGGGCTTTTATTGACCTTTTCATACACTGCTCCAAATGCACTTTGCAGCAGCGTTTAGAAAACATATCAGAAGTGGCTTTTCAAACATTTTGAAAGCAGGTACCACCAACCCTGTAATTCATTGGCCTTGCACTGAAAACTGACACTGAAACCTTTCATAAATTGCCTGCCCACAGAATCAGGAATTTTCCCTGGTGAATATACCAGGCTCTCATACACAACAACATTTTTATGCCCACTGAAACCCCTGCTTCCTTCCTTACAGAACTCTCTTCCCCCATCCCAAAAAGGCTATTCCCGTTGGAGATAGCCACTAGACTCCTTGGCTCAGTTCTCCACTTTCATGGGATCCATTTGACAACAATCAAATCACTTTGTTTTGGCAAGTAAAGCTTTTCCTCCTCCACTTCCCTGTATCTCTCAAGCCAGATTTGGCCTATCTTCCCTGCTCAGGCTCTGCCTCTCATGGTTTCTCCTCTAGCCATACTGAACTATTATTTCCAAAGAAATGTTGAGCCTTAATCCTGTTACCATTAGCTCCTGTTTGCTTTAATTCTTCTCCCTGTGGAGTTTCACAGCAGGAGGGGAAGGCGGCAGTCAGTACACACACATAGGCTCATTTCCCCCAGGTACAGTTCTTCCTGATTATCCACTCAAGTGGGATTGTAACCTTACGGCCATTTCCATAGTAATGAGCATGGAAGATGCCACAATTGCCTAATGAGGCACTTTCCCTGGGCGCACAGCAAAAAGCAGAGGTGGTTTAGTGGAAGAGAAAGCTCCAGTGAACAAACAGCAACTCTATTTGCATGCTAGTGCCGCTGCAGCACCCTCAGCAGCGATGGAAATCACGGCAATATAAAGTACGTTAATTCTCCTGTTAACAGTGCAAGGTGTCTCCTCAAAGAGCTTTTTCTGAAGCGGAGGTGTTACAATCAAGTCCCCACCATCACAGGTGGATTATCCAGCTTGTGTATAAACCAGGCTGGCTCCTGGAGCAATGCAGCTGTTTCTGCATAATTCCACCCTCGGGCTAACCAGTCTCACTAAATCCAGCCTCTCCAAGGGGCCCTGTACCCTGATGCCCCAGCCCAGTGCTGTACGGGCTCAGGGCTGCGTGAGCACAGTTCTTCTTCAGGTTTTGGACCCAGGCAGGTTCTGGGTGCTGGGTGGCGCTGGTTTTTAAAGCCAGTAAGGTTTGCCTGAAGTGGCTGTGCTGAGGAGCACGTCGCAGAGATACCTGAATTTGGGAGACGCTCTTGGTTAGGACCTTAACTTTTCAACTAGACAAATCAAACTTGACTTCAATCTCTCCCTGCCTTCCACTGTTCTCCCCATATCCTAGGAAATCAGAAAGTCTAATCATGAAAATTAAAGAGGAAAAACATTCCCAGGAAAAGCAAGTGTCATCTCTAGCTTCACTAGCATAGTCTTTCTCAAGTTCCTTGAGATTTCATGAAGACAACACGTGCAATATGTGGAATCATTGCAAAAACACAGCCATGGGAAATGACGTTTCTCCTATCCCAAATAAACTTTGGGCACGTGGTTCTGTAGCACTGTTTTGGAAGAGTTCTCAAAGGTAATGTAACAGCAACAGCCTAATTCTATGAAGTTACAGAATCAGGGCAGCTAGGGCCATTAAATGTGAAAAATCCCACCAATGGTTTGAGCCAGAGGACAGCTTTTTTCCAGTATACCAGGTTATACACATGCACTTCACAGTACACTTGCCTTATACATGCAATATTTATCTATACTAAAAGGACAGAAAGAAATGAAACATCCCAGGCAGTTTATAACCACGGAAGTTCAAGAAAAAGTCTTGGCTGTAGCTTCGCCATGGAGTTTGCCATAGCATAAATCACATCTTTCTTGCCTTTGAGGATTAAAGTTTCTGGCTGGTAACAATTCCTGTTCTGTTGGCTCCTGGAGAAACAGAGCTGGAAGAAAGACTAAGACAACAAATCCACAGGCAACTAAATAGGGGCATGGGATCACCAGATTTTCCAGCTTTTTCTTCTCTCCGCACATGTTACTCCATTTGTCAGTGTGTATTGGTTTCAATACACCTGGAAATGAGCAGAGGTGGTGCCATCTTTCCAGCAACGCAGGGTTTCTACAGTGACAGAACGACAAAGAGGACAGGTCTTCTCCCTGTCAAACCAGAGGCAGAGGCATTCTTCACAAAACACATGCTGTGGAGACAAAAGGGCATCATCACGATGAGGGCAGGAGGTCTGGTCTTGTCACTAAGTGTGCACAGCCACGGGAGCATGGAATGATTCAAGTTCAGGTGGACAGTGCAGCTGATTATCAGTACTCGCATGATAAGGAAAATAAATCCCAGCATTACTCGTACATCAGTTTGCCAAAGCTAATGATATGTTACTCTGTTTCTTAATATAGCAATAGAAAGAAACATTACAAAGGCCTATGACATTTGGGCTAACAGAGGAGCTGAGAGCGTTTTCTCTACCGTGTGTCCACCCTCAATTCCCTGGGTTATTTTACAAATCTTTACTTAGCTCGAACAACCCCCTTCCTTCCCCCTACTCCTTACTGCATTTGTTTTCTTTCTGCTCACATCACCCAGTCGTAGTCAGTAGCTTTGCAGTCCTGGTTTCCCCCTCTCTATAAATGTCAGTTTTCATTGCTTATCTTCTCTCATTTCTACACTGAGCCACAACAGGATTCTCCCTCCAGCCTGCCTTGGCCCCAGACCACAGGAGCAGGAATAGGCCAAGAAAGGAGTCTGAGAAGCTGTAAGAAGCTGAGACCTCCTCAACACATGTGGAGTCAGCAGAAATGTTACTCATCAAAATCTGAACTCCGAGAAGCATGTACAGCTTCTCTGGGGCTTACAGCTTGACAACATCTGCACAGATGTTCACAGCAATGGTAAGAGGCACTTTTGATGCACAGGTGACCTACTTGCTTTAAGTTGATAACCCTGTTACAAAGCATGAGAATGTTAAAGCTCTTCAGAAAAAGGCTCTTGACATCACAAGAGAGCATATATCCCACCAAGTCCATTCCCAGAAATGGTTGAGTCTTTTTTTTTTTTTTAAGGTTTTCCTACATGCACCCACACATCAGCCAGAGACAGCCCCCAGGATGCAGAATTTCAACCCGACAAAACTTAACCAAGTTACAAGCAACTGAAAAGATGTTGGGGAAGCATTACCAGCCTTGCCACAAGGCAAGACCTTCAGCTGGCCTCTGATAAATATATGATACAGATCTGATAAATACAGAACCCATGACAGTGTGGTGTGTTCAAAGGGTTTTACTACCACCAGATTTAAGCTCTAGGTTTTGCCAGCGTTTACTACATGAGAAACAGGACAATTCCCATGTTCTGTCAGCGGTGCCCAACTTCTCTATGCAGAACTGCTTTTATTCCTGGCCAGGTGTTCAGAGGCCAGGCCATGATTACATGGTGCTGCACCAGTCTTCATGCACCCTATCAGGCTCATTCTGGATCTATGCCCCTCTCATAGCTCTTGCTCATAATTCGGTTGGCCTATTGACTAGCCAGTCTCCCCAGGGGTCAGATAAAAATGTCTTGCATTCTAGATCCAAGATCTGGACTGCCAACTGGCAGTCCCTGGTTGACAAGGCTGGTCTTTTCCATCTCAGTAGCTATGATCAGCCCCTAAAGAGTGGCTCAGCTATCACGAATCACTGGTTATCCAGAACAGGGCAATAAATATCCCCTAGGACCTAGATCAAGACCCAGCAAATGATTTTAGAAGTACTCAGGCTAACTGTGCCTCTCCCCAGCTGCACAAGTTAACCAAATGAATGCCAACGGGGCAACCTGACGTGGGAAGCTTGGGGTCTTACCTGGCACATAAGGATCAAAGGTTCCCTGAATTCTGCTTGGCAAATGGCACAGATGTCACCTGCCTCACTGCACTGCTGGCTGGTAGCACGAACTCCATAGGTCTGTCAGGGAGAGGTGGAAAAAAATCCCAATGTCAAAGGGTTTGAAGATAATCCAGTTTGTGGTTAAGCATATATATAGACACTGTTTTTCACACCCAGGTTCCCCGCATGACCTGGGAAGGACACCGGTGTTATGCCTCTGTGTACGGGGAAGGGAGATTTGGGCACCAGCACACAGAACACAGGGAGTCTGAAGCTCTGTGTTCTCTGTTTTGTTTTCCCCTCGAGCTGACTCCATCTTTTAGTGCCTCCACTTGTGGAGCAATGATAATGAAATTTAATGAGCTCAACAGGGAGCTGAAAGGATTAATTCAGCATCATTTGCAGAGGTGTTTAGATAGTGGGAGGTATTATTATTAGCAAGTTAGACAATAGAAGAAAGAATAACAGCAGCAGCACCCACAGGCTCCCCACTTTTCTTTTTAAGTACGTGGAAGGTAAATGTTGCTTCTCCTATTGTAACAGTAATAGGGGAAATGGAAACACACTGACGAAAAATGATCGGCCCAAGCCCACAGAATAAGCAAGGCAAGCTCTAACAAACTTCTATGATATTATGCTCCTTTCCTCTACAGTCTTTGATTTCACCATTTTACAATGTAAGTCACAGTATTCCACTGCAACAGATCAAAATATCAGTATTGTATAATGCAATGCCTGGGATAATTTCTGTGCACTGTAGGATCTCTTTTTATTCACATCAGGCACTACATACTTCTATTTAAAGTCTTTCTCACACTCTGCACTACAAAGTTTTGTCAGCTTCTTGCAGTTTTGGCATCAGTGGATTAGTCCATATTACACAGGGCTTCCAAGCAGACAAAACAAGCCAGACTAGCAACAATCTCTTACCATAGCTGGGACAGGGCAGATATCAGAAAAGCTTCTTAACAACCCTGACAAGAGATACCAGCTTATCCAGCCATGGGACAACAAATTATTTTATTCTATGATTTTCTACGCCACCACTCAACAGTAACAAGGCTCCACCTATGGAACCACCCTCATACGTATGACTGCTTACCTGTGGGGTGCAAAGGACCTTCAGTGCCTTCCGGACACTTCCCACACGACCACAGATGTCAAAAGACTGCAATAAAGACATTTTTATTTTAGATACTTTTCACAAAATGTGTGCGTGTGTGCGCATGTGCATGCACACATGTGCATACAGTCCAGAAACTCGGGAAACATGTGGCACCATTTCTTCAAATGGATGCTTGGAGGGAGCAAAAATCCTAAGTAACAATGGTGCCATAAAATATTTCATAGTGATCATGAAATAGGTAATAAATGTGAATTGACAGTGCAGAAGGGTAGCCAAAAAATCTCTGTGGACTGCAATTAGGGGCATTACAGGACAGAAAGAGGAGCAGACATCAGGGGGTTGTGGCAGGGTAAATTGCCCAGCCCTACTAGATAGGAAAGGGCTAAAATGGACCCATTCCCACCCTGCGACCTGAGTAACTGAAAAGCCCAGAAGTGAGGTTAGAAAACACCGCGGCTAGCTTGAGAAAGAAGGAAGGGCGGGCAGTCTTTTCACATGGAGGAGGCAGAAAACTGCTTTCCTCAGCCTCTGGGGAAAAGGGGGCTTTCCAGGGCTGTGTGGCTCTGCCACACAGCGTGATACTCAGGGCCCAGCCGATATTAGGAAAGGAGTGGGAATTGCCTGTCCTGCTGCAGAGAGTGATTTAGTGGAGTGCAGTGATTAAATGCTACCAAGAGAAGAACAGCCTGAGGAATGAGAAGCAGGACTGAGGCTGAGTTGCTCCCATCCAGCTAAAGAGTGAGAAACTTCAAATGCCAGGAAGGCATTAGTTTCCAGCACCTTGGTACTTTGCAGATGCCCAAAGATGGCTGACAGCAGGGGCAACAACAGGTCCTTCTCTTCCCCTCTCCTTCCATTGCCCAGCAAACATGATGTAACTGCATCTGGAGAGCATCGCTCATTCTGGGCTCCTCATTAAAGACTAAAAGCAGTTCAGAGAAGGGCAGAAAATGAGCCTGCAGAAAATGATTTCTGAAAAGAGGCTAAAAGACATAAATATTTACAGCTTGACTGAGCAGTACAAAAGCAGGGGGAAAAGATGATAAACTGCCTACAAATATCAAGGGGCTGAGCAAGAGGGGAGACAGCATTCTTAAAGTGAAGACACGGTACTACTAATAAAAGGGAAAACAGCTTGAAAACCTAATCCAGTATGCCAGCTTCATCTTCCCTATCTGCTGGCAGAACACAAGGAGAAAGACACTCTGAACTATACAAGATATGAAGAAATGATTGTGCAGAGAACAGCCCTGCATTAGCTGGGAGAAAGGCCAGATGACATAAGAAGACCTTTCCATTTCTAACCTGTCTGTGTGAGAAGCGGCTGGGAGAGCAGGGCAAGATGTGATGCAGAATATGTGGAGCTGTAGTGGACTTGCACAAAGGCACCAGAATGCCTGGAGTTGGCTTTCTTTTTATTTTTTTTTTGGTTAGCATGATTAAGTGGGCTCACTGCAGGGAATGCCAATGAGATCATCGTGCAATAGATGTGGAATCAAATGAAGGCACCAATAATGCTTCCAGTCAGCACGTAAAAAGGCTCCCAGGGTCCTTCCAGTAATGCTTCCAGTCAGCAACTAGCACTTGAAGCTAACGACTACTACAGACTTTTTATCTTCTAACAAGGATAGGGATCAGCTCTTCCCCACAGTCCAATTCACAGCTTTTTCTGGTTGCTTTGCTTTGACTTCTAATGCCTTTGCTCTGGCTCTGATGTCTCCTCTTCTCCCAGTCCATTTCCCCCTTTTTTTTTTTTTTTTCGTTTGGAATTTTTTTTAGCCACAAAAGATATGTGTTTCAGTAGCTTCTTTAACATCCATTTATCACCCCATGCACTGAAGTCTACGTTGCATCAGTCATCTTTCTAGCAATAGGATTGCAACATTTGGGTTCACAGCCAGTGAGTGCTTCTGTCCAGGATAGGGACAAAATAAGACCTGGATGCCCTTACTGACAAATATCTGAGATTTCTTCGCCAAAATCAGAGGTTCACATTTACACAGTCCAGACAGAGACACCAAGACAGCTCCCATCAGCTGCACTATGTACAACCTTCTGA